GCTTTGCCTGTGGGGGTGCGGGGTGGGAAGGGCGGGCATGGTGGGGTGCTGGACTGCGTTCTGGGGCTTCCCCTGGGAATTGCTCCAAGGCTTTTTATTGGGAACCGCAGATGCTTTAGGGCTGCGCCGTAGCATCCCCTGCAGGGCTTCCCTGTCTGCCCAGTTCCTGGGATGAGGCATGGGAGCAGCCGGGGTCTGGGCAGGATAAACCCAGAGGCAAATGCTCCTCGGAGCAGCCCCAGGGCTGCTCCATGTGGCAGCAGCGCTGGGAGCGGCTCCGTGCTGCTCTGGGCTGGCAACCCCTCTGCAGCCTTGCTCGACCTGGGCCAGGTTTGACCCTGCCCCATGCTTTGCCAGGGTAAAGATGCCATGCAGGAGGTGGAGGTGCTGATGGAGAGGATGAAGCTGCTGCAGGAAAGCCAGCTGGAGGAGGAGGGCGTCACGCAGGAGGAGATGGCGACACGCTTTGAGCTGGAGAAGACGGAGAGTTTGCTGGTCGCTCCCTCAGGTGAGGAGGTGCAGGGGTGCAGCTGGCTGGGGGCCAGGGAGAGGGGATGGAGGGGGAAGGAGCCGGAATCTGCCCAGGAAGGAGCAGGATCAGGCCCCCGGCTGCAGGGCTGGCTCAGTCCGGGGTCACGCCGCGTTGCTCACGGCTGCTCTGGTGGTGCCTCGTAGATATTGCGGATCACTCCCTGCAGTCCAACGTCCTCTGCTTCGTGGAGGACCCCGAGTTCGGCTACAAGGACTTCACGCGCAGGGGCGAGCAGGCGCCCCCCACTTTCCGTGCCCAGGTGGGTGCTTGTGGTCCCGCACCAGCCAGAGGGGAAGGGGCGGCAGGTCCTGCTGGTCCTGGCGTGGGGACAGCGGGGCTGATAGTTGTGGGGCCAGGATGGCAGGGGGAGACCCCAGCTTGTGTCCCTGGCTCCCTACCCCAGCATCCTTTCTCTGGCAGGATTACACCTGGGAGGACCATGGCTACTCCCTGATCAACCGCCTCTACCCCGACGTGGGGCAGCTCCTGGACGAGAAGTTCCAGGTTGTCTACAACCTGACGTACAACACCATTGCCATGCACTGCGGCGTGGACACCTCCATGCTGCGCAGGGCCATCTGGAACTACGTCCACTGCGTCTTCGGCATCCGGTAAGTCCCCGAGCCGCGGCCGGAGCCCGTTCTCTGCCTCGGGTAGAGCCCATGAGCAGGTGCAGCCTGGGAGCCCGTGGCTCTGTCTTGGTGAGACTGTTGCTGCTGCTTAAGGCTAAGGCAAAGCAATGCTGTTGGGGGGCACAGCTCGGGTCTGGGAAGACCCCGGGGTGTGAGAACAGGCAGGGGTTGTGCCTGGAGCAATGCGCCCTCCTCTCTCCCCCAGCTATGACGACTATGACTATGGGGAGGTGAACCAGCTCCTGGAGCGCAGCTTGAAGATCTACATCAAGACAGTGGCTTGCTACCCGGAGAAGACGACCAAGCGGATGTATACGCAGTTCTGGAGACACTTCAAGCACTCAGAGAAGGTGCTGCCCCATCCCTTCCCCTCCCGGTGGGGCATGGGGGGTGCTGAGCCCCCCGTGCCCTGACCCTGCTCTCCCTGCGTAGGTGCACATCAACCTGCTCTTGCTGGAGGCTCGGATGCAGGCGGCTCTGCTCTACGCCCTGAGAGCTGTCACCCGCTACATGACCTGACAAGCCTCTGCTCCCTCCTCCTCCTCCTCCTGCCCTGGGTTTGGGGGAAAGGCCAGGGGGGAGCTGGCACCCTAAAGACTTTGCTGGAATATTGTCTCCCCTCTTAAGGGGCCTGGAGCTGTGGAAGGAAAGGGGGGGATCCCAGGAGAGGGGATCCCCAAGAAGCCGTCAGTGCTGAGAAGACCCCGGAGCTTGGCAGAGCTGGGGGTGCTCGATAGGTCTGTGCCTCTTTTTGGGGTGAGCCTGAACGAAGCCAAACCAGGGTGCCTTTGGGTGCTGCCTTTGCCACGGGTGCTGCTGTGACACCTCTGTGCCACGTCCTGGCACCAAGACTGCCGCCGTGGGGGACTGTCCTCATGCTGGAGATTGCCAGAGGGTATTGGGGGCTTTGCCTCTGCTTCTTGGGGGGGGGTCTCATCGTGCTGGAAGATGTGCAGCTGCTGGTGGGGATGCTGCCCTGGCACCCCCTCCCCACCCTTGGCTCGCACCCAGGGAAGGCACTGCAGGAGCACTGGGATGG